AGAATGATCAGAATGATCAGAACGATCAGATAATATCAATAAGATATGATCTTATAAAATTTTTATACGAAAATCATCGCCGTTTTAGTCTAAAAGGAAATGTGGCGGATCACGAGTAAAAATGCAACCAATTAATAAGATGGCTAACAATAATCATAAACTTTATAAGAAATGATCTGCTGCATGCTGATAAAGAAAGATTGGAGAGGGGTTAATAAAGTACTAAATAAACTAGTAAAAACAAAACTAGTACTATTCTTAAAAAAAATTTAAAGAAAAACAAAGACAATAGCAAAGGAAAAAATTATGTTCCTTTGATAAATCCAGCTTTTAAAATATCAATGGGTTTGGGTAAAAAAATTCTCTGTTAATAAGCTAAATTGAAAGCTAAACACAACGATAATAAAAAAGGTATGTGCTACCAATTAGGGTCACGATCAAAATTCAGTAAACCTCCATTTTCATAGAAATTCATAATCTAGCTGTTCTGACAGATCTCAAATATAGTATAACTGTTTTACTATCCCACTCTCTTATAGCACAAGTTGTGCTAACAGACCTGCCTCTATTGCTACCACTGCACCACTGATTCTAATACAGTACTATGGAACAGCTATTTGAATACTCTATAGGAACAAACTTTTTTTTTCAGTATTAAAGGTGGTTCCTTTGGTGATGCAGTTTTTATTTAAGTTTCAAACTATAGTTACATTTTATTGTAGTACATAATTAAACTCAAAACACTAGCCTAGCTTAGAGCTAATTTACCCTCAGAGCAAACCTACTAGAGCATAAATATAACGCATCTTATATTAACACACCTGGTTTATAACCCTTGCGATGTTCACCCAAACTCCAGTGCAACCTTTACAATCTCACAAGTATCTAGTACAACCTTTTGCAATGATCCTTCCAATCCAGTTAGTTGATCAATGACAGGTTGGTGTTGCCTTTCCTTCTGCAGACTTATATACACCATGCGCTCAACTTTCTGTCTCAAGATTTTGGCCTTCACTATTACACTGTCAAAAGCTCATGCTACTTCACCACTCAGGATTTGCAAGCAGGTATCTGATTCTTCATGTGCTTTCCAGGATTTATGTATACTCACATCTTTTCGTTATCTGTAGAGAATGTTTGTACTACCACTATACCTGTAGCAGGTGGTACAACTCAGGATTACAGAGTTTCTTTAGAAATTCTTAACTCCTAGCGTCCAAATTGGTTACTGTATACCTTTGAACCTAGCACAGACCTTTTGGTTTTATATTGCACAAACTTATGTTTATACTACTACTTCAAGTTAGTATAACCAAGATTACAGAATTCCTGTATTCGTACGCGGTGAACTCTTTGGCATGGTAACTAGTAAAAGTTATGCACATTCGGGATCCCAAATCTGGCTTGGCATTCAAAGATTATTGGTTTACAATTTTCTGTTTTCATAGTTGATAGAACTCGAATCTAGGACTACCACTTGGGTTATATGAATAATAATAACAATATTCAAATGATTAATTAAAAAAAATAATAAAAAAACAAAAAGAAAATAATTAAATATAATATCTTTGCTTGCCAATTGTTAAAAAGATTTGTCGATATTCGAGAAGTAAATTTAAAAGATAAATCTGAATCAAATGGTATTAATCAAAGAAACTACAGATTACAAAGAAATATAAACGCTGGAGATTTCATTGGTGGGAAGGTAAAAAACAAAAAGTTAAAAATTTTTATGGAGCTAAAGACAATCTAGAAATAAAACAAAAAGCGATTAATTTCAAAGTAGTTCATAACCAAATTACAAAAAATAGAAATAGAAATGATGAATAATCACTTGATCTGTGATCTTTTAGCTTTTTGTTTATTGGTTATTATAACATATTGGATATTAAAATTATGATTTCTTGATCTGTACCTGTTATATGTAGTCTTTTAGCTTTTTTAATAATCTTTTCCGGTATCATAACTATATCAATATTGAGAAACTTTGTAAAATCGAGATTTCTAAGAAAAATCTGTTTTACAGACGTTTTTTAATTACTAAAAAAGGAGATTAGGAGATCGAAAAAGACCTTACTTTTTCACCAATCGAGAAATCTTGATTATACATGCATATGGATATGCGTTAGCATGCAGAACATATCAGTTAGAATTATTTCAAGAAGGGCACACCAGACTTTGGCTGTAATTAACTTCTAAAAACGGTAGACACATGTCTTGATTTGTGATAAATTCTCAAAAAATTGACTGTGCTGAAAATATGAGGGACTCTCAGGATACTGGTGAATAAGAATATATGCTGTTAAGCTATATATAACTATGAAACATTACTTATGTTTATTAATTTTAGCTATAAATGAGATGAAAGCGAAATGAAACAAGCGTTCCTCCAATTATTATATCAAAATTACATATAGATAATCCATTTATTTCATCTGATTCGGTTGGTATTAGTATTACTTATTTTTTTATAGTATTACCCGAATTGATAATGACTCATCTATATAATTAGTTATTAAATAAAAAATCAGGTATTACTAATAGGAATTTTTTCATAAAAATATAATTTAAACTTTGACTGTTATTAATTGGGAAATTTGAATTTGGGTATTTTAGTTGGAGTAGAAGAATACTGCCTACAAAAAGATGTGCAAAAGAGAAATTATTAATTATTAAAACAAAAATTATATAGATTAGATAGATTTAATTTTTATTTTTATTTATTTTATAAATATGGGTTTTAACTATTGTATTTTTATTTGTGTTTTATAGAATTTATATTTATTTATTTATTTAGTATAATAAAAATTTTTACAAAATATTAGTAATTTGGATGAAAATTTTTAAGTATAATTTTATAGGCTTAAATTTTGGCATTAAAATTTGACTTTAAAATAACAAGGGACAAATATAAAACAATAAACATTTACGTGACATGTATTAGCTAATAATTTCTACTTTAAAATTTAATATATAAATCAATTCAGTCAGTAATTATAACGATAATAAAAAAAAACATCTTCTTTGCTGCCTTTGCAATATAATCTTGAACCTGAGAGTTAATTTCTAGATTTCCTTTTCTTTTTAATTAAATTTCTTAACATTAAAATAAATTGAACTCCTACGGCCATGGGGGCCGTAAGAGTTCAAAAATTGAGTAAAAAAAATTAAAACCGGCATTAATTTTGTCTATAAACAACATAATTCATGTATATATGAAATTAATGCTACTGGCAGAATTCGAATGTAAAATTAGAGGCAGAATTGGGGTTTAATTTAGACGAAATTCGAATATGAATTTGTAGTTTAATTTGGACAGAATTCGAATATAAATTTGGGCAAAATTATAGTTTAATTTGAACAGAATTAGAGATAAATTTGGGCAGAATTAGGGTTTAATTTGGGCAGAATTCGAATGTAAAATTAGAGGCAGAATTGGTGTTTAATTTAGGCGAAATTCGAATATAAATTTGTAGTTTAATTTGGGCAGAATTCGAATATAAATTCAAAGTATAAATTTTGGCAGAATTAGGGTTTAATTTGGGCAGAATTTGAATATAAATTTGGGTAAACCTAGAGTATAAATTTTGACGGAATTTGGGCAGAATTCGAATATAAATTTGGGCAAAATTAGAGTATAAATTTTGGCAGAATTAGAGTTTAATTTGGGCAGAATTCGAATATAAATTTTGGTAAACTTAGAGTATAAATTTTGGCGGAATTAGAGTTTAATTTGGGCAGAAATCGTATATAAATTTAGAGTATAAATTTTGGCAGAATTAGGGTTTAATTTGGGCAGAATTTGAATATACATTTGGGTAAAATTAGAGTATAAATTTGAGCAGAATTAGAATATAAATTTAGGCTAGAGGTGCAGAAAATTGGTGCCGTAGGGTTACGTCAAAAAGATGAGTGGTTACGTCAAAAGTGTCGTAACAGCGTATGTCGTAATAGCCGACATATGCCGAAACTAAGTCTTTGTTCATAACTC